AGTAGCTGCTGGAGATAACTAAAATACTTACTTTTAATGTAACTTACTTTCCAAATCAAGTAATCAGTAATCTAACTAAGTTACTTTTTCACAGTGACTGTGCCATCTCTGGTCCCAACAGAGAGGCCGGTTGTTATGACTCAGCTCAGCAGGGGGAAGGAGAAGTTACATTAAAGACTCTGAGACATTAAAGGTTTATCAGTGTAGAGTTTATTGTTTGAGTTAGTAAAATACAAAGGTAAAAAAAACTACAATCAGAAATGAAGATCTTATAAACAAAAAACAATATTCACAAAACAACCAGAGATGTAAACCAAAAGCCATAACCAAACAGGACCAGAAACCCAAGTGTACGGTATACGATTCCGACTCAAGAGGATGGTCCCGATTCGGAGTTCGATACCAACTCATCGGGACCCAATGGCAGGTCCCGACTCAGAATCCGGTCTCGAGTCCGGTCCCGACTCCGAGTCCGGTCCCGACTCCGAGTCCGGTCCCGACTCCGAGTCCGGTCCCGACTCGAAGTCCAGTTCACACTCCGAGGCCGATCCAAACTCGAAGTCCGGTTCCAACTCCGAGGCCGATCCCGACTCAGATGAACTCGGAGGCCGTCCCGGGTCGGAGACAGCTCCCAACTCAGAATACGATTCCGATTCGGAAGCCGTCTCCGACCCGGTGGGACTCAGAGGCCGGTCCCCACTCGGGTACAGGTACCAACTCTGAATACGGTCCCGACTCAGAGCACGGTCCCGTCTCAGACGTTGGTCCCGACTCAGAGGCCAGTCCCAACTCGGTCCCGGGAGAGAGTCCAGGCCCGAGTCAGAGTCCAGTCCCGAGTCAGGGGCCGGTCCCGACTCAGAAGCCGGTCCCAAGTCAGGGGCCGGTCCCGACTCCGGTCCCAAGTCGGGAGCCGCTCCCGACTCAGAGTCCGGTCCCAAGTCAGGAGCCGGTCCCGACTCAGAGTCCGGTCCCGACTCAGGAGCCGGTCCCGACTCAGAGTCCGGTCCCGAGTCAGGGGCCGGTCCCGACTCAGAGTCCGGTCCCAAGTCAGGAGCCGGTCCCGAGTCAGGAGCCGGTCCCGAGTCAGGAGCCGGTCCCGAGTCCGGAGCCGGACCCGACTCAGAGTCCGGTCCCGACTCAGGAGCCGGTCCCGACTCAGAGTCCGGTCCCAAGTCAGAAGCCGCTCCGACTCAGAGTCCGGTTCCGAGTCAGGTGCCGGTCCCGACTCAGAGTCCGGTCCCAAGTCAGGAGCCGCTCCCGACTCAGAGTCCAGTTCCGAGTCAGGAGCCGGTCCCGACTCAGGGTCCAGTTCCGTGTCAGGAGCCGGTGCCGTGTCAGGTGCCGGTCCCGACTCAGAGTCCAGTTCCGAGTCAGGAGCCGGTGCCGTATCAGGAGCTGGACCCGACTCAGAGGCCAGTGAGGCTCAAAAGGTCCACTCTTGTATGGTCCGTCAGTTTGAATATCATCCGTATGAAATCCACAACAAAATATATTTAGAAATCTCTTCCACGCCTTTCCAACTCGGTTTCTTCTCAGATGGATTTTTCTTGGCCTCGACAAAGTTCTCCTGAAGCACTGTGAGATTTTGTACGTAACGTGGGTTGTCCCTTGATAACAACTTGAACAAGAATTTTCTCAATCCACTATTGTTTCCACACAAAAGTTGGTATATGTCTTCACAAAGTTTTTGGTCCATGTCTTCGAAGAACAAAAAATCTATATCTTTAATTTCTTCCCATATTGTCAGACTCAGCTTTGTAAGAATAGTATCAATGTTGTTCAGTGAGTGCGTGCCATGTGTGGATGTCTTCCTGGATTTATCTATTAATTTACTAAGAATCTTGTCAACCATTTTTCTTCTGTCTTCTTCAGTCCCATGTTTCAAGTCTATTGTCTTTGTGTCCTTCAAAAATTCTTCATCCTTTTCTTCATTCAGGCAATTCTTCCGCATATAGCTCCTCACTTGGATAAAATGTCCGTCTAATCTTCTTTCTAGTTGATGTAAACATCTTCTTTCCAGAAAGGGATTCTCCAGGTGATGCTTGAATTGTTCCGCCATAAACAATTGTCCATCTCTGTCTTCAAGGAGTCCTATCAAAATTAATCCAGTACATGAGATAAATTCGTCCTGTGTGAGACTTGTATATATCTTTTCAGCCAGCTCTTCAAAGTTCTCCGATAGTGCCGTCACGTTTAGGACTCCTGTTGTAGCTGAAAGCTCAAGTAAAACTCTCTGGTGTTGCCGCTGAAAAAACTTCTTTGACCAGGTGCTCCGTTTGAGAATCCGCGACTCTTCTGATGACTTCCACAATAGTTCACTAAGAAATGTTTTTGTGTAATCTGGCGTAATATTGCCGGGATGCACTCGATTTGAAAAAGTCTTTCTCATCTTTTTGAAAAGGGAAATGTTCTGTTTTGCAGGATCTTGGCTCTGGAGTTCTGTAACACTCATGCTGGTTTTGCTGATCTGAATTCAAATGAATCTTTTGTTAACCGCCCACAGAGTTTAGCTGATCAGTGATGTCATGGACTCTATGACATCACAAAGTCATCCTTAGAAGGGCCTCATGACACAGACATCCTTTGAAGTCATGCTGATGACATCATTGTCAGCAGCATGGCAACTGTTGCTAATGGTGCTAATAGCACACATTGAGCATGTGCTATAAAAAAGAGTCTGTGGGGATTAAATGCACCATCAAATCAAATCAAAATTCATATTGCCAAAAAAATGCATCCCCCCAAGCTAAAAAAAAAAACAAACAGTTATGAGTGAAATAACTTTTTCTATACATTTGTTCCCTTAGTTGCTGGTGTGAGTTTCATATCAATAGGACAACATTTGAGGAAATAGAGCGGGCAAGCATATTTTGGCAGGCTGATAATAGGCTTTGCCATAAAACGCATCCCTCTGCTAACATGTAGAAATAAAAAATTAAGAGTGGAATAACTTTTTCTAAAGAAGCAGAATAGTTCTATAAGTTTCATGTTATTAGCATAATAACATTAGAGAAAAATAGAGAGGACATGCAAATCAATATTGCTGAACAATGCAACCCCTGCTAACTTGAAGAAATAAACCAGAGTAGTACATAACCAGAGTAGTTCTAAGAACTGCTGGTATGAGTTTCACCTCCATTCTATAATATTTGATGAAAATAGAGGGGATGCAAATTTTGGCAGCCTGAAAATCCATATTGCCGAAAAATACATCCCCCTGATAAATAAACGTGATACTGTTACAAATATCTTTAAAAGTTTCCTCTTCGGTCGGATTTAGAACGATGCGCGCTCCTGCGACAGGGATGCATTTCTCGGCATAACACCTGTTTATAAATAGTACTACAACTGTGACCAGTCCACGGGAAACGCGTTGTGCTTCACCGGCCTTTGCTGTAGTGGGTCCTGTCGCTCCACGCCTCCTTCACCGCTCGCTTCACCTCCTCTTCCTCCACGGCTCCACAGAGATCCGCGGCTTCCACGCTGCTCCTCTTCTTCTTCTTCTTGTCCGTGTCTCCGCTCCCATTCTGCGCCCGCTTGCAGCTCATAGCTGGGGAATCTCTCCAACATAAACTTCGCAGACACTGGATAGCGTGAAAGCGGCGTCGCGGGTAAATGACGTCAGAGGGCAGCAGTCGCTTGCCCGGTGTGATGACTATCAGGCTGTATTGTTTACTTTTTGTCTTCGTTGCAAGACATGTTATGTACTTTTACACATTTGTTAGGGAACTATTGCTTATATAGACAAAAAACTACATATTTATATTTTTATAAATTATTTATGCATTTATTTTATTTACTTTAAATCGCAAGATCTTTTCGTAACATCAGCATTTGTGGATTATTTAAAATATATTTTTATACCATTATTCCTCTGTTAATTTGTTTCATGTAATCTGACATTATTGTATTAAATGAATTTATTTTTTCAAAAATAAAGTACATTTTTTAAAAATCCTGTAATAAGATTCAATAAGATTTTTAAATGTTTTACCAGAGTATTTGAGCTTCTAAAAAAATTATTCTTTGTTTAATATCAGATTTCTGAGCATTTAAACAAACTTTTCCAAAGTTTGACAAAAAAAAAAAAAAACAACAAAAAAGCCAGCATTATGAAAGTAGTTTTTTTCCTGATTGAGAAACATTAGACTAATTTTAAACAGGTCACTTATAATATAAATGACTTATTGATCAAATGAAAATATTTTAGACTATAATCCAAACAAGCCAACCAATCCTTCTAGGATTCTCTGTACATCAAAACATGTTGGATTTATAGTTTCCAAAAGTAATAAATCTTTGCCGTTTAATTCAGTTAGTGGCTTCAGTGAATCATCTTAAGAACTAATGAGACAAAGGAAATGTCCTACTTTGAACAAATAACCCTTTCTCCCGTTATAAACAGCATGTAAGTCCATTTGAATCACCTGCATTTATAAATACATTTCTCATTATTCCAGAATTACATTTACATGTAAACACTTAGTCAGTACTACATATAATACAGTAAAAATACCTTAAACACTAATAATTCGATCATTATTTCTGAGGTAAAGATTTTCAGAAGCACTATAACACCGTTTTTATTTTTAAACAAGTGATAAAATCTTATTGCTGCGTAATTTAAATCTGCCTGTAAGACAAATCCCAGGGAAAAATCCTCCAAAATGTGCAGCTGGGTGCCTGAAACCCAAACTTCTACTAAAGTAATATTGTTTAATGGTAAAAAATAAACAGTCATGAATGCAACGCATTACAGTAAGTGAAGTATATCTTAAAAGCATTTGTCATGTTGTCCATTGAGCCTAAAGTAGTTTGATTAAAATAATGCTATTTTTATTCATTCAATTAATTTAATTACTTATCTGTCCATTGTAAACACCTGCTTCTAAGGTGGCATTAACATGGATTTAAAGTCCTTCCTCTGTGTTTAAAAGCATAAACTTGACAGATTTTTAAAATGTGCTGATCAACATCCAGTATCTGTAACTTTATAAAAACATACTCAAAACACAGCTTTATTTTAAAAAAGACAGCATTGTTACAGGTTAAAACAACAGGAAACACAATGTTGTAATTTTTTTAATCAAACATTGTCAACCTTTAGGCAAACATAAAACCAGATTCTGGAATAGAGACCTGCATACTACAAAAGGCTGCAGCTTCACAAGTTTAAAAAATAAATCAAAAAAACAACTCGGACCGTATCATTGTCTCTAACAACAACCCCGTAGACTTTCTATTTACCAGACATAACAGGTGTTTGTTTCGTGAAAGATAAACGAGAGACGACGTCCTTTCAGCACAATGCTTCTGGCTGCACTCACAGAGACAGCCACTCGTGGTCAGGTTAGTTGTAGATAAAGTTGAACCTGAGAAAAACAAACAAAGCAGGTACAACCTGAAACCCTTCAACTCTGATTGCTGGTGTCGGCTTAGACGGAGAGCCATGACAAATTTACAATGATGGTTTGATAGGAAGCATGTTTTAATCATAGAGGGTGATTTTAGCAGCTCTTTTGATGGTTTTATGTAGAGTTGTTAATGTTTCGCTTTAGGTATAAATGATACTATTTTATCTGGCAAAATGGAAAAATTATCTGGCAATAAATTTACCAAATAGACATATTTTAATACGTATCTAAAATCTTTTTGTTACATGCTGCAGGTCGGTGAAAGTTCACTGTCTGGTGGAGGTTGAGCGGCTCTCCTTCTGTGAAATGTTACTACCAGTAGCACATAGCAGCGGCCCAACAGCCAGAGTAGAACCATCGTCTTACACCGCAAACTTTAATAATTTTTCGGGTTATTTGTTTAGCTTTCTGATGTACTTTTTTCCTGAAGTGATCCTCAAAGTAGCTATACTCCGTCAAGTGCTTGTTTTTAATGTCATTAGACTCGTTGTGTTGATGCATTTTGACGTGAGGGAATTTTCCGCTGCAACAGCGCGTTGTAGTTCCTCACTACAGGATTTGTTGCTCTGCGTTTGCGCAGCATGAAGGAAAGAGGAGATGAGCTGCACACGCAGGCTGAGAAGTGAGATACAGGTGATCGGCAACAAGAGACAATGATTGCCGATCATCAATCATACACTTTTTCACGGAAATCGGCCGATCATGATTGGTGACCAATCGATCGGCAAACCTCTAGTTTTATATGATATCTGCATTTAGTATCTTGTATAAGTGGCAATATTCTGCATCTAGAAGGATATCATTAGTACAAGGAATTTAAAATAGTGATTTGAATACTTTCATGATTTTTGTAGCTTCAAACTATGTGCCATGTGTAAGCAGGCTATCAATCTTTTTTTATTTTCCATATTTATAGAACGGGCTGATTCAGCCAGCTTTAATCTACAAAATAAAGTTTTCTGTCCTTTGTAAAGCCAGACGACGCTACAATTTGAAAATGTAATAGAATTGTAGCTTCTTCGCATTGCCTTTCAAAAATAAAAACGCTCATAAAACCTTTTGTTTTCGACTTCAGAGAGATTGTGTTTCGTACCATCAGAGGTAGAAGTGGCTCTTTGATTTGAAGTCCTGATAAAAATTGAAACCTTCTTTACTTTTGACCCCCTACTAATCTTCATCGCCAGTAAAAATGAACCAAGGAAGAACATTTGAATGTTTCTAGTAGCCAAATAGCCAGAATAAAGGTTGTGCATCCTTCATAACAGAGCTGCACGATGATAATAAAATATGCTTTACCTGCTCAGTAGCTGCGGTAGACTGGAAATGATTGGTCCATATCCAGGAGCGTTGTCGTACAGTTCAAACAACGGAGCAGCCACCAGCTTATAATTTTTGGGAACGGCAAATAATGCTGTGGGAATATTACAGATTTTAAATGCAGAGACGACCATTTGTTCTCATTTCAAAATTGCAGATTTTAATTTTTCAGCACTTTTGAGGTAATAAAAAGAAATGCTGACCTTTCTCCTGCAGCTGAACCAAGAAGAGCTTTTTATGCTCCTTAGGTTTAGTGATGTGAGCTGGAATGTACGGGTACTGGAAGATGAAAAGCGCCGCATTAGTTCACTCATGAAAACACAGATTGGGCAAGATTCACATTTTGGACTTTGTGTGCTTCCACTTTGGGTCTCAACTGCTTCTAAAAAAACACAGCCAATGTGCTTAAAAATAAACCACCCAGACAATTAATTAATATTATTTGATGTTTGGAAAATGAGCCGATTTAAAAACCTTTACGAATCAGAAGACACTGCCCTGTTACCTAGCAACCCAAGCAGAGCCCACGCCGTTACCTAGCAACACAAGCTAAACTCAAATACTTTTGGTCAGGTTGTTTTTCTGCGGTATGGTCTGCACAGTGGCTGCTAGAAAATACAAGTGTTTTGTTGTTGACTTACCAACCAAAAAACAACTTGCTGCTTTGATTTTGATTGTGCAGGAGGCTCTGCTTCTGCTTTTCAAAGATGTATAGTTGTATAGTTGCACATCTGTTTACAGCCACTTTCATGTGCAACTGTAAATGTTGGTGTGTTGAGCAGCAGCTTATTTGGATTTAGAGTGAGAAGAAGCCCCAAACTAGACTAAAACCGGACTAAAATCTCTTCATCTAAGAATTAATTTTGTCCAGAAAAAAAATCATTCTGCACAAAATCAGAACATGTTAATCACAGAAATGTGATTAACATGTTCTGTAAACCCCCTAAACCCATCCTAGCCTTCAGGAAAATACAATAGGTCATCTTTAAATGTTCAGTTTATCAACATGAAACCCAAACAAAGTCCAACATGGCTGAGGATCTGTGGCAGCAAACAGGAAACTTCTTCCCTGTGTTGGATTCTGCAACAAATGTGTGCATCACATAAATATGGAAACATTCCTTGGCACACTAACCTGCGGAGGCTCAAAGTTGGGGCGCCACCAGTTACCGATGCAATCATCTATCACCCAGTCCTGCTTCACCCCGTCTTGCCGCCCGAGGATCTAATAACCAGTCAGACAGTTAATTCAGGTCAGTTTCACACCAATCACAGAGGCAGAATCAAATAGCGGCTACCTCAGTCATCAGGCGTTTCAGACCCTCCACCTCATCTTCTCCAGGATTCAGCTCTCCACCAGGCCTGCAGGACAGACATAAACTGTAAATGAGCAACTCTGCAGCCCAGAGCTGCTTCCTGCAGCAGCACCAGCCACTCACAGCTTGAAAAACGTTGTGCCCAGCTGCAGCAGGAGGACATGAGGCAGCCTGTGCTCGTGAACGATGAGGACTCCCTCTACTGTCCGGCGCATGCCCATCTTATCAAACTCTTCACGCATTCTCTGGAACCTGGCGGCCACAGAGCAGTCCTTCTCGTAAAGAGGCTCCTTGGTGCCAAACGTGTAGTTCGTGAGAGGATATCTGGGACCAGAAAGACAAAACATGCTTCACTCAGCCGCCAACTTCGTTTGTAGCTTCTCAAAGCACATCAGAAACAAAACAAAGAAGGTTTACAAATTTAGATTTTGGCAAAAAAAATTTTAACTTAGATCAGTTTTTTGCGTGTATAGGTAGTTCACTCTATTTTTAAGCCACTGCACAACTTTACTGAATGAATGAAACAGAAAATCTACAGATTTTATGTGTGACCACTGTTCTTTTCAAGGTAAAATGCCCGCTACTTTGTATCAGAAATCCAGAATATAGCTGTTTGAGCATCGTTTTCAAACTTTCCATGAAATGTTCCAAATCCAAACAAAATGTGTTTTTACTCCATGGAACGTTTCGTTGATAAAGTTATCATTTTCTACATTGAGGTGATTATCTTTTAGATAAAAGAAAAAGAAAGGACAATTCAATTATAATCTATTTTAAACTCCTAAACTGTGGAACATTAACAGAAAACATTTGCTGAAGGTTTAATCAGTACACATAAAACTAAATAGAAATTATACCAGTCATTATGTGAATATTATCTTTTGGGTGAATATTTTTTACATGTTTCAATGTAAATTTACATAAATTAAAAGAATCGTTTAGCGTTTAAATTCCTGCAGTGTACCTTTACGCCACAGAAAAATCCTAATTTTCTGCATTGAGATGTTTAACTTTTAGCTGAAAAAGGAAAAAAGTATATTAATTCAATTATACTATGTTATATTATGTAGAGAATTAATCAGAACACATTTACTGAAGGTTTAATCACAGTAACATAATACAAATTATAATTATTGATTGCTTAATGCAGAAATCTGCTGGAGATCAGAAATGTTTTGAAATAGGATTCAAACAGAAAGTTTTAATAGCAGAAACTATTATTTTCTGCGTTGAGATAAATTAAGCTATGTTTAAGCTATAGCTGGAAGAAAATGCTATTCAATACATTCAATTCCAATCTATTTCAAACCGTCATTAAATGCGTTTAATCAATGAAACTTAAATTAGATTAATTAGTACATAAATCTGCCACGGATCAGAAAGATTCAAACTTGTTATTTTATATATTAAAAGCCAACAAATGAGTAAAGTATACCTATTTTGAGTGATTTGGATCAAAATCACACATTTTACCCTCCACTGCACCGATAAATAATAAATCCTTATGTTTGCCGAAGCTAACTAAACGTAGCGCCTTCACAAGTCAGATATCTGTGATTTCTTTGTCACTTTATTGCACAGATCTGCATCGAAATAAAACACTGAGCTGCCTCAGTCTTCTCCGCATCAGTATTCAGACTGGGGACTGCAGGCGGTACCGGACTCACAGGTTGATGGTCCGCTCCAGGGTGAGCGGCTTAGCGGGCCCGCTGATGTATTTGCTCCCGAACTGCTCTCCGCCGCGGCGCGGCCACCCGGTGGACGAGCGACTGGGCTGCACGACCGACATCCTTTCCTACTAGAATGGAAACTCCTGCAGATGAAAGGCAGGAAACCCGATTAATCTCCTGACGGACACAAGAGAAAACACACACCGAGCGCTCCGCTGCACAGACTCCGTCTTCTTTGTTCTTCCTCTTCCGGGTGAAAACAGCGCGGTTTGCGTCACGTCCCCTGCAGCGACCCCTGCTGGACTCTCTGTGTTTAGACACAGAGTCAGAAAGTAAACAGTTTGGGGTTCATTACTCAAAACCGTAGGAGCTATTTCTCCATTTTCAGTTAAATCTTAGAATTTAGATGATTTAGTTCATTTTTATTCACTTATTTTCTGGTCAATTTATAATTATAATTTTTGTTTGATTAGTTTGATTGTTTGATTGATTCTTTGGTTAGTAATTCACTTAATTAGTTAATTATTTTCAGTTGGGATGTGGGTGTGTCACAATATGAATAGGTAGGTTTTAGGTAGGTCATTATGCATGTGGCTGGTCATAAGGTTTTTTACCAGTCAGCCAGTCAGTCCCAGTCTATCCAATCAGTCACTTCAGTCTATCAGCTCATAACTTGTTTTGCCTGAACTGAAATAAAAGCAACAAATAACTGCATATTGACCTTTTTTGGTCCTTTTGACTGTGTAAACCAGAATCCAATAGGTGACTATTTTGAGTTAGATTAACTTTTTGTTTTGATCACTTTGAAGTCTTTAAGTTTTTTGATTTTTGAATTTGAATTTTGGACAAATAGTAACTACAATAAACACAGAGGTGAAAATTATATTTATACTACTTGTATTTACTCAAAAACAGGTAAAAAGTAGCCTTCCAAGAAATTAAAGTAAAAAAGTATTTCATTTATATTTGAAAATTACGTCATCAGATGGACTAAAATATTTGGTTCACTGCAAAAACTAAATGTCTTACCAAATATGTTGAACTGATTCATTGAGTGGTCATAGGTTTCAATTTTGGCCTGGGAGGGTTTGACCGCTGTAGCTAACTGGTTAATCTAAATTGTGATTAAGTGTGCGCGTGCGTGTCTCTGTCTTGCCCTGTGATGGACCAGTGACCTGTCCAAGGTGCAATAATGGATGGATGATGTTTCAAGGAAATACTTCATGAAGAAAAACAATTTTTAAAAAGCTTAAGGAATGACTCAGTGAACTGAATAATCCATTTAATAGTCATAGCTATGTCTCTTTTCCATCTTTTGTAAACATCATGTATTTTACCACAATAGTTTTCTTATAGTACATAATCATACGTGCAATGCAAAATTTCAACAGAAGTTAAAAAAAGGACAAAGACACTGCTGGATTTGTTGATTACATCACACCAAGAGGATCTCAGTTCTTTGGTCCAGTGGCCCACTCTTAGTGGTGTGCTGCAGTAATGTGGTGGTCCCTGTCGGAAGTGCCATTGATAATCTCTCCCCCAGCCTTTCTTACCACTCGTAGCCTTTACTGTGGACTCTCCTGTCTGTCACAGTTGTTGGTCCCGTGTTCAGCGGCTTCGTTATTTTTCACTTATCACCTGCTGACATTGTTTCCTCTTGCTCTTGAGCCTCATTGACTGTGTCGTCTCTGCTCCTCTCACCCTCTGCACCTGGGTCGGGTTCAGAGAGGGCATTCGCCTCGGCTATCACACTTTCTTCCTGCACTTCTTTTCTTGTTACGTCACTGTTGTCAACCAGTGGTTTGTCACTGTCACTTTTGTTCGTCTTCTCACCGTGAACATCTTCCTTATTCTCATCAAGATCACCTGATTTGGCCTCCTCAGAAGGCTTAACCACTGCTAAAAGACAAAAACATTCAATTAGACAATACCTACAGTATATACATTAGGGGACACCATGTGAACGGTTCTGAAGTGTTTATGCCCCTTGAAGTTGTCCACATTTTTACATATTGCTGGTCTCTGGTCTTCATAATCCTTTTATCACCAAAGAAAAACCTCTGAGGCCTTCATAGAACTACATCTGTACTTAGAGTTAATTAAAGCTCGGTGGTCTCCATTTACTGTATACCTGGAAAGAAATAGATCTTTTTAAAACTTGTAAATGACATAATATGCTTAAAAAACTTGTTCATCACATTTCTTGCGCAGAAAAATTTTTCTTATATTTTTGTCTGGTCAGTTCTGCCTATTCTAAACTTCTTTCAGATTGAGCTTTTTTTAGGGGCTCCTGTCACTTTAAATTCTAATAAGCTGCTGCTGGCCACGCCCCCAAAATAAATGTTTACATTGGCACCTAAAAATGGCTACAAACAGATGCACCATTATACAAGATACATCTTTGAAAAGCATAAGTGGAGCCTGCTGAACAGCCAACACGAATGAAGCGAGTGGTTTCTGAATGGCAAGCCAACAACAAGACACTTGGATTGTAAAACTAGCTGATCAATGCTGGAGCTCAGCTCGGGCTAAGAGGTAATTGATTGCGACTTCACAATCAAGTGGTGTTTCAACTTACCATTTATTTATTGCCAAAACTTGTTGGCTATTTTTAGAGTAAGACATTTTGGAAACAAAAATGTGAATTTTGCATCATAGATCTCCTTTAAGATCCTTTTTTGCTTTGAATTGACACTATTTGAATCTGGTGAATTGAACTGAAGTGATTTTGAATGTTAATTAAGATAACTGGATTGTGTTTATTCAAAGGAGGTTGAATACAGCTCACATCAAACTTTTCAGATTTCTATTTTTTTAAGTAAAAACCATGTGATCATTTCCTTCAGCATTTAAATTATCCACGACTTTTCATATAATCTCTCAGTGAAATAAACTGAAGTTATTAAAGGTGGTCTGAAAACAACCGAATGGGAATACATCTGCAAGCGCTGAATTGCACATGCACTAAAATAAAATCCTACCGCTGTCTGTTGTTGTGGGTTTTCCTGGCTCTTCTCCACCCGCCCTTTCCTCATGCAGCGTCTGTAAATCTTCATCCTGGCGTGGCCCACCACCAGGGGGCGCTGGACTGCTGAAGCGGCGAGGAGTGGCACTTAACTCTCCGTCAGGGGGGATCGTGAAGACTGGCTCTGACCCAGTTATGTGCGGGGAGCTAATTGCTGCAGCGCCCGCCGAGCTGCTGGTGGAAGTGGTGTCTGCGCGGTTTAAACTGGTCGCGGTGGAGGCGGTGTCTGTGGGGTTCGTGTCACTGGAAGAAGTGGAGGGAGCAGAAATGGGAGCCTCTGACTGGACGGTGGCAGGAGAGGAGGCAGAGTCCATGGGGTCGCTGGATGGCGGGCTGAGGGATTCATCGGCTGTGGGAGGGAGGGGAGCAGGGGTCACTGGGGTCACAGAGGAGGTTGAAGTAACGGGGACACCGTGTGTGTCTGCGGTTGTAACTGCACCAGAATTAGGAGGATGACACATAGCTACAGAGGTACTGGATGGAGTATGTAGGCCTGAATCTGACACGCTGGTGGAGGAAGAAGAAGCTGCAGTGCTGACAGAAACATCACCTCCTGCAGCTGAGAGAGCACCGCTTGGCTCCAGGACAGTTGCCTCAGTTGGTAGATTTGTTGTTGCTTTAGAAACTGGGCTCTGCTGGCAGGGAGCTGAACCAGTTTCCAGGGTGGGGATGGAAGAAGTAGTTTCTGTTTTTGAGGTGGAAGCGACTGAAGGACTTGGGGTTGTGGACTCTGAGGTGGTGGGTGTAACTGAGGCTGTGCCAAGGGGCTCAACTGGGGTAGAGATGCTAGTAATTGTGGAGGCGGGTACTTCAGTGACAGGAGAACTAGATTTAGGGGCAGAGGCTTTTCTGTCACTGGCTGTAACGCTGGTAGGTGTTGTAGTTGCTGCAGCAGAGTCCACTGAGTCAGTGCATATCTCTGTGTCAGTACTTGAGGAGGAAACTGTGACACTGGCTGAGTCAGGGACTGAATTAGAGATTGTCGGTACAGAAGAGGTGGTGGCAGGAGCAGCGGCCAGACTGGGCTTAGTGGGCGTGGTTGTCTCTGCTTCCTGAATCTGTGCTAGCTCGTTCTCTGGCGTATTGTGGCCTGATGCTGCAGGAGGCGGAGCTGGTTTGATTACTGGCTTTGGAAGCAGAGCAGGCTTCCCAGCTGCCTCATGTGCCGACAGACTCGCCCGAATTGGATGCCGGGTGTCTGGAGAGAAAAAGGAAGGAGAAAATCACTTAGCTGACCATACCAGATTGGGAAAATGGCAAATTGTGGTTTACCTGAAGATGCAGACATAGTCCGAGGTTTTGAGAAAGTAGAGGATGGCTCAGGTTTATTGTCAATGATGGTACCTGAAGCGCAAAGACTACAATGTAATTTTAAAGGACAAATTAAGCAGCACATTTCAGACTGAAGCAGGTAGATTTTGATTGCTTTACTCTTTAAGCCTTATAGTAGAAAAGATGGTAATGACATACACTATTTCAGATTTATGTTTTATTTCTGTATCATAACATTAGCCATTTTATGATCATGAACTTGACACATTTTTCCCAACCAGAAGGATATGGATTTGACAGAAATCCACAATAAAAAATAACCCATGTAATGACTCACAAAATATCCCTGAAAACCTGAAGAAGTACATTTTTTCCCCAGAATTTCACTCAGCATTTTAGATAAACTGACCTTCGACCATTTGTGTGCGAGTGTGTGCAGGTAGAGTAGGTGTGTGTGAGTGTGTGTTAATTTTTGACCTGGAGGATGTGATTTACCATCCAGAATAGTAGCAAGAGTAGAAATCCAAACCCGAAACACTTTGAGCCATGGAGAACCAAGAGTAAAGTGTTCTTGGCTGCTGAAGACCCCAGAATAGCCATGCAATTGACAGAGATCACCCAGTACCCCAACCCAGTTGTACACGCCCCTGCAATAATGCCAGAGCCTATAAGGCCAGTCCCACACCACCATTCTCTGCTGAACTGGCGAAGGCACAAAGCCAAGATGGACAGGGGTCCATGCAATGTTCCTCCCTAGTGTTTGCATCTATGTCTGAGCGACTGTGAAATGTCTCAAGTGGATTAAAATGGGGGTTGCAATTAGAGTTTGAGAGATAATGGTTGGGCTTGCAAGGTCCATCATCCCAGTAGTCTCAAACTACATTTCCTCGAGGGCCAGGGTCCTGTAAACTTTTAGATGTGTCTCTTGTCCTACACTTCAACTAAAAT